CCCCCCCCCCCCCCCCCGGTGAATTTCGTGCACCGGGCCTCTAGTATATAATAACTAACTACATTATTATAGCACATAGTACATAATGAAACACTGGATTTATATTTAATCTGTTCAATGATGTGGACAAGCAATTTACTGGTCCGAAAAGGGCCAGACAATAAGAGCTTTCATTTTCATCATGCTACTATTGGTAATGAATCAGCTATTTTTTTATATAAAGAATAACTATTTTCTTAAACCTATATCTCTTTCATGGCATAAGTACTAGATTTGGATATTAGATTTGGTTTGGTGCACATGTGAATTAAGGACAGTTCTCTAAAATCTCTAGGCCTCTGTTTCTACATTTGTAGAATGATAGAACTCTAGGCTGTGTTATCTGGAAGGCTTTATTGATCCTGAAATTTTATTTTCTGGCTAGTCCCTGGTTTACATGGAAAATGGGATCTGAGAGATTAGGGAATTTAGCCAGATTCCTGGCTAATTAAGAGCCAAAGTCAGGGCTAAAGTCTTATGTTTTTGGACTTTAATATCTACAGTTCAGGCAAGTTGACTCATAAGTAGAGACATAGAAATACTTTAAAAATCCATTATTTTTAATGTAATTTTAAACTTTACATTTGTTTCTTTTGCTAGTATTTTAACATCTGGAAATCCTTTTATATCAGTTATTTGACTTAGAAATTTTTACTTAGAATAGTTGCTTTTGGTACAGTAGTTTTTTCTTCAAATAAGATAGTTTACAGAGGAAATATTCTCGAATCTGAAAGTGATACATTGCAGTACTTACACTACATAATCCACCTCCCACCCCCCATAAAAATGATACTTTGGAAACAAAACTATTCCTTCTGATTTTCTGATTAGTCTCAGGGAATGAAGGTAGTAATAAATTTGAGGCTGTACTTTTCACATGTTTTATGTTATTTAAAATTAAAAATAAAACCTTTAGATAAAAGGTAATTTTCTTTTTTTAAATGGTATAAACATACACACACACACACACTTATAAGGTAGAAAATGAAAACCTCGATATAGTGGACTAATTTGGGTGAGAGGGGTGTTGTTAAAGGTGAAGTCATAAAGTAGGT